GTTTACAGTTATAGGGCAGGCCACCTGTCCATCATCATTAGGTTCCCTGGTCCCGCCCCCCTTTTGGGCTTTGGAGGGAAGGTGAGCCATTTTGTTAGTTAGTCTCTGCCAGATTAGCTTTTGTATAGGATGTGTGTAACTTCCCCTGTACAAAGGCTTCAACCTTTAAGAATTTCCAGGGTTACAGAAATCCCAACAGAAACAGAAGGGAAAGAAATCCAGAGGAGAACCGCTTTAAGAGAGTCCATGGAAGCATTCCCTCAGCTTTGGGAATTTCCAGGAAACAGCCCTAAAAGACAAAAGAACTCCAGCTGGAGAGTATCCACTGCCTTGCTGGTAGGTCCACTCGGCGTCCGAGAAGCAGTTCGGCCCGATAGCAAAGCCCAAACCAGTGAGGGTTGGATTTCAGTCAGCCTGGGAGAAGTTAAAAAAGGGGTTTTTCCTTTAAAGAAGTTACTGGAGATAGTTGCCTGTCCTTCGTGGGCAAGTTTAGGAATTCACCAGTTCCCTAGAAGCTTGTAATTATTTGCTTAACTTTACTGAAGACAAGAGAAGTTTCTGTTTGATTGTTCATTAATAAAAGACTTTGTGTACTTCTATAGCCATCTGAAGATTCTTTGTAGTGGAAACCTCTGAGAACTTCTCCTTAGGCCCCTGGTTTCCCGCTGGGCAAAGGTTACATATCCTATTTTTAAAGCCAACCAACTCCAGGCCCAGCGGCGACAGAACACATAGTCCATATTAATATATAATATATTATATTACATTATTTATATATTATACTATATTGTATGGGTTATATTATTATATATTATAATATAATATAAATAAATGTTATTAAAATCATTGTATTGTTGTTATTATTATATTATACTATTATTTTATGATTATATTATCATATATGTTAGAATCATAGAATCAAAGAGTTGCAAGAGACCTCATGGGCCATCCAGTCCAACCCCCTGCCAAGAAGCAGGAATATTGCATTCAAATCACCCCTGACAGATGGCCATCCAGCCTCTGTTTAAAAGCTTCCAAAGAAGGAGCCTCCACCACTCTCCGGGGCAGAGAGTTCCACTGCTGAACGGCTCTCACAGTCAGGAAGTTCTTCCTCATGTTCAGATGGAATCTCCTTTCTTGTAGTTTGAAGCCATTGTTCCGCGTCCTAGTCTCCAGGAAGCAGAAAACAAGCTTGCTCCTCCTCCCTATGACTTCCTCTCACATATTTATACATGGCTATCATGTCTCCTCTCAGCCTTCTCTTCTTCAGGCTAAACATGCCCAGCTCCTTAAGCCGCTCCTCATAGGGCTTGTTCTCCAGACCCTTGATCATTTGTTATAATATAGTACGTTATTACAAGGGAGCCACAGATTCAAATGGCAGGAAAAGGGATTCCAAACCTCAACACCTAAACATTAGAAAGCATGTCCTGATGGTAAGAATCATAGAATCATAATCAAAGAGTTGGAAGAGACCTCATGGGCCATCCAGTCCAACCCCCTGCCAAGAAGCAGGAATATTGCATTCAAATCACCCCTGACAGATGGCCATCCAGCCTCTGCTTAAAAGCTTCCAAAGAAGGAGCCTCTACCACACTCCGGGGCAGAGAGTTCCACTGCTGAACGGCTCTCACAGTCAGGAAGTTCTTCCTCATGTTCAGATGGAATCTCCTCTCTTGTAGTTTGAAGCCATTGTTCCATTGCGTCCTAGTCTCCAAGGAAGCAGAAAACAAGCTTGCTCCCTCCTCCCTGTGGCTTCCTCTCACATATTTATACATAGAGTTGGAAGAGACCTCGTGGGCCATCCAGTCCAACCCTCTGCCAAGAGCTGATTGACACTGTAATGGACAGCCTAGGAGTCCGATTCGTTTCCTTCTCTGGAGGTTTTGAAGCAGAGGCTGGATGGCCGTCTGTTGGGAGTGCTTTGCTTGTGTTTTCCTGTCTGGCAAAAATGGGCTGGACTGGATGGCCCTTTCCAACCACAACCACTATGATTCTAAGATGAGAAGGATGCATCAGAGGGTGGGTGGGTGGATGGTTAACAAGCCCATTTGTTTATATCTAGGGCAGAATGAATTAGCTGGCTAATTCCAAGGCCTGCTAAGACTCTGCCACTTCCCATCAGTCTATTTTGCAGCCATTGGGACCAACTGCATCATTTCCCCCTTAATCTTGTATGCCGAGCCACACTCCCAAGGCCTCCTTGAGTGGCTAGGCTGCAAAGCTGTGCATAACCAAGCAAATCCTTTCTTGCAAGCTGGAGGGTGGGGGGATAGTCTGGAAGGCTATGGAGGGCAAACGACTCGCCCCAAAATAGTAATTTAGAAACTGCAACCGATGCAGGGTTGTCCAGCAGCGTGCAACGCCCCTCTGTCGGGCTGGTGGAGGTCAGGAAGGATAATACGGCCGCACTCTCCCAAGTCTCTTGACGTGCCTCCAAAGAGCAAGAAGATCCGCCCGTTACGTAAGAACGCTAAAAATGGCAGTGCACTCTCAAGAACGCTTCCACAGCTTAGCGAGAGGAAGGCAGCTCTAATGCCGACAGAAGTCAAACGATAAAAGTGCTGTTCATGGACAGACAAAGTCGCCTTTTGGCACCGGATCGCAAAAAAGGCAGTCGGAGGAACGGCCAAGAGGAGCTCCAGGGCAGATGACTCATCATGATCTCATTTGACAGGGGCTTTAATGCTCTGACCGCAGGCATGGGCAAACTTGGGCCCTCCAGGTGTTTTGGACTTCAACTCCCACCATTCCTAACAGCCGGTAGGCTGTTAGGAATGGTGGGAGTTGAAGTCCAAAACACCTGGAGGGCCCAAGTTTGCCCATACCTGCAAGTCTACCTAATTCACTTTTGAGTCTGAAGTCAAGGACTGGAAAGAAAGATTTGATTGACAGTTGTGCACCTTCGTGTCAATGCACAAATCACTACAACCCCACTGACTCCTTCCGATGCATCAAATATTAGTCAAACACTGTTAAATAGAACTATCAGTCAAAAATCTCAATAACACTAAAGTTTAAAAAGCAATTAAATCAACAATTATATTTTTTTGAAAAGTTGAAATAGTTTAAAACACATCTCGCACAAAAGATAAACATCTCTTCTGCCCTAATAACAGCAAGAGGTCCTCAAGTTAAGCGGGGGCTTTGATGTTGGTCAAGATGTTGTTTTTATATAATAATAATAATAATAATAATAATAATAATAATAACCAAAATTGCAATGTGGGTTGCCTTCCTCCCTGAAGGAAATATACCACACCTGGAATATTGCGTCCAGTTCTGAGTACCACAATTGAAGAGAGATGTTGACAAGCTGGAATGTGTCCAGAGGAGGGCGACTCAAATGATCAAGGGTCTGGAGAACAAGCCCTATGATGAGCAGCTTAAGGAGCTGGGCATGTTTAGCCTAAAGAAGAGAAGGCTGAGAGGAGATATGATAGTAGCCATGTATAAATATGTGAGAGGAAGTCACAGGGATGAGGAAGCAAGCTTGTTTTCTGGAGACTTGGACACGGAACAATGGCTTCAAACTACAAGAAAGGAGATTTCATCTGAACATGAGGAAGAACTTCCTGATTGTGAGAGCTGTTCAGCAGTGGAACTCTCTGCCCTGGAATGTGGTGGAGGCTCCTTCTTTGGAGGCTTTTAAACAGAGGGTGGATGGCCATTTGTCAGGGGTGCTTTGAATGCAATATTCCTGCTTCTTGGCAGAATGGGGTTGGACTGGATGGTCCAAGAGGTCTCTTCCAACTCTTTGATTCTAGGAGGCAAGAATGGTGGGTGGGAGTATTCCTCAGGAAGTAAAATGGCAGGAATGAGGCAAAAATGTCTTTACTAATACATATAATATTATATATTATAATGTAATACAATATAATACTATTAATAATAATAATAAAATATTATAATTATATATTTATATTACATGTAATATTACTAATATTACAATATAATGGTATAGTGCAATATAGTAATATATAATACTGATATTGTACTATGCTAATAATATAATATATTGTATGCATATATATCTTGTAAGCCACTCTGAGTCCCCTTCGGGGTGAAAAGGGTGGCATAGAAATGTCGTAAATAAATAATAATAAATAAAGAGTTAAGAGACAAAGCCCTGCTATGAGGAGAGGCAGGTAAGAAATAAAACTATCATCATCATCATCATCACCACCATCTATATAAATAAAAATGTAATGTATTGTCGAAGGCTTTCATGGCCAGAATCACTGGGTTGTTGTAGGTTTTTTCGGGCTATATGGCCATGTTCTAGAGGCATTCTCTCCTGACATTTCGCCTGCATCTATGGCAAGCATCCTCAGAGGTAGTGAGGTCTGTTGGAACTAGGAAAAGGGGTTTATATATCTGTGGCTTTAGCACAGCAGGTTAATCACCAAGCAGCAATAAATCTTCCCAACCAGAAGTTTGATAGTCCGAAGCTTGGGTCAGGGTGACCGCCTGACCTTTAGCCCAGCTTCTCCCTACCTAGCAGTATGAAAACAAATGTGGGTTGATAAATAGGAACCGCATTAAAAGGGGAGGTATTTAGGCACGGCGTTTCGATAAAAAAAAGGAGGAAGTTTACAAACAAAGAAAACTCTTTGGCAAGGAGATGAAGAGACAGCACCCCCTGTGGCCAGAACTAAGCACAGCTTCCAAAGATGCCGAAAGATGGGAAAACTTATATATACTTCTATCTGTTGTATGTCTTGTCTCTGTATATAATTGACACTGTATGTTTGTCATATATGTGTTCTGCAATCCGCCCTAAGTTCCCTTTGGGGTGAGAAGGGTGGAATATAAATACTACAAACAAACAAACAAACAAATTGTGGGAGTTGAACTCCAAAACACGAAGAGGGAGGGCCGAAGTTGACCCATGCCTGACTTTAACTGCTCAAGTTAGAGAATTCTTTCTCTCCCTGTGAACTGCTTGCCAGGCTCCCAAAAAGGCTTATGTAAACAGGAAATTCAAGAAATGAAATTACCTATCTGTGTCTGCCTACCGTTCGCATCTTGGACCCCGGTGAGCGCGCCGACGGCTGCTGCGGTCTCGCCGGACAAGACGATCTGGCCTCCGCCTTGAAGGGTGGCTTCCGCCAGAGTGGCCACGGCGTGGGCGGCGGCTTCGCTGCGAGACACAAGGAGGGAGAGGAAGGAGCTCGTCAAAAAGGGGAACGTATGCAAATATCCAAAGGTATACATAAAAGGCAAAAGCAGACGTACATCCCAAATACCAGCTTACAGTCTTGGCCTATAAAACCCTATACTGCTCCGGTCCAGCTTACTTATCCGAATGTATCTCTCTCTACGTTCCACGTCGTAATTTAAGATCTACTGGGGAGGCCCTGCTCTTGGTCCCACCAGCGTCTCAAACGTGTCTGGTGGGGACGAGGGACAGGGCCTTCTCGGTGGTGACCCCCACTTGTGGAATTCGCTCCCCAGTGAGATTAGATCGCCATCCTCCCTCCTTACTTTTAGGAAAAAACTAAAGACATGGTTTTGGAGCCAGGCCTTTGGCTAGTGGGCACAGCAGCACTTTAGGCACTGAACTCGGACAATAGGATTGTTATGAAAATTAGAAATGGCTATACGACTTGTGATTATGTGATTATGTAATTTTAATTAATATCACTGTTTACTTGTTATGTAATAGGTTTTTATATCGTAGCTTTATATTGTTGTTATTGATACTGTTGGCATTAAATTGTTGCCTGTGTTAGCCGCCCTGAGTCCCCCCTCGGGGGTGAGAAGGGCCGGGTAGAAATGGTGGAAATAAAATAATAAAATAATAAAAAATAATTAAAAAATCATTCCAAAATATAGGTTACAGTCATAACAAGAACAACAACACTTTATAACCCATCCTCTCTCCCTGAAGGGACTCAGGGCGGTTTCCAAAGTATAACAAAAAAGGCAGACATTCAATGCCAAACAAACAAACAACAATCAAGATGAAACATGAAATAAAATAAAATATAACTTATAAACAACCAAAATTAACAAATAAACTATATAAACATAATATAACACAAGGAGTCAAGGCAGATAATAATAATAATAATAATAATAATAATAATAATAATAATAATAATAATCTTTATTTATACCCCGCCACCATCTCCCCAAAGGGGACTCGGGGCAGCTAACATGAGGAATGATATAGTATATCATATAAACACACACATACCGAGCAGTTTGATAAACTTCTCCTATGTTTTTATGATGCAACCAATTAGGAAATGACATCTATAGCCCTGAAACAAACATTGTGATGCAAAGGGTTATATGTAGTGGTGCACTAAAATGGCATCCCTCCTTTAAAATGGAAAAAATAAGGTTTGCTTTGGTTGGAAATAGCAACCTTCTACAAGCCTCCTATATTAGTTACTAGCCGTCCCCTGCCACATGTTGCTGTGGGCCAGTCTGTGTATATGTGTTTTGTGTGTGTATATATGTGTGTGTATATATTTGTGTACATGTGTATATATGTGGTTTTGCAAATATGCTATAATGTATTTTTTTTTTGCTTTTTAAGTCTCTTCTGTTGTGTTTTTTAGTGTTTTTATGAGTGATGGTCACTGGTTGGCCTGATAGGTGTCTCCTATGTTCAAATTTGGTGTCATTTCGTCCAGTGGTATTTGAGTTATGTTAACCCCACAAACGAACATTACATTTTTATTTATATAGATTAGTTATATATATACATCCAGATAGTTTAGTATATTGTATGTATATTTTGATATGTGGTTTCCCCTTAACTCTATGTTGCTTGAGATGGTGGGAGGGACTGCAGATCATGTGACCAGATCTGGGACTATTCGGACTGAGACTCCATTTTAAAAGTCAGTGTTTCTATCAGATGCTGTACAGTACAGTTTAGAAGTCAGTAGTGTCCGTGTGCTGTAGTGTGTAATCAGTCTGAGTCGATGTTCAGTAATGTATTAGACTGAAGAGAGTGTTAGTCTGTATGCAACAGAGAAGAGACTGAAACAGAATGCCTTAGAGAATATACTGCTTAAACTCTCAACCAATAAGAAAAGCACATGTATGATGAATACATGAAGTTTGTAAGTAAATCAACTATGTTACTTTTAACCAAGACTACCTATTTTTGGTCTCTTGAGAGCAATATATTTTATGGGAGAGTAGATGGGGTTTTTTTAGGGCCTCCTGGTGACGCAACGGGTTAAACCACTGAACTGCTGACCAAAAGGTTGGCAGTTCGAATCCAGAGAGCGAGCGAGTTCCTGCTGTTAGGTCCAGCTTCTGCCAACCTAGCAGTTCAAAAACATGCAAATGTGAGTAGATCCGTAGGTATTGCTCCTGCGGGAAGATAACAGAGATCCATGTAGTCATGCCGGCCACATGACCTTGGAGGTGTCTATGGACAAAGCCAGCTCTTCGACTTAGAAATTAGATAAGCTCTAACCCTCAGAGTCAGACACAACTAAACTTCATGTCAGGGAAAACCTTTACATTTTAGATATTTTTTGGGTGACTGAAATAACACTTCTGAAGATCTGCTATATATATTTGTGCTCTGTCATGTCTTTGTTCCTAAAAGCTCTGAGAGATAACCAGGTATATCAGTCTAACAACTGAGAAGCCTGATTTGACTTGTATGAATACTAGTAGATATCTACCACTAAGAAGAAGATACACTCAAACAAGTATTTAACTCTTCTCAGGAAGATCATACTTTACAAAAGGGTTAGGATTATTCCAAATATTATTTATTTATTTATTATTTTATTTCGGATATGTGTACCCCGCCCTTCTCAAACTCCTGGGGGGGACTCTGGGAGGCTTCCAATTGGCAGAAATTTGATGCCTCAATATATATATAGTAAAAACAATAATTATAATTAGATAATAATAATAATAATAAACTTTATTTGTACCCCGCCACCATCTCCCCAACTCGGGATGGCTTATATGGGGCCAAGCCCAAAAACACAGGAACAAAATAAAATCAGAACATAAACATTAAAACAATACAATTATCACTCTGGTGGCCATTATTAGCCGAAAACCATGGTTGGATGCTCTATCAAAACGTATCCATAATCAATTTCCAAACCATTGTCAACATTGTTATTGTCACTGTCTGCTTAATTACTCGAAGGCCTGGTCCCACATCCATGTTTTTAATTTTTTTTCTAAAGGTGAGGAGGGACCTAATTTCCCCGGGGAGTGAGTTTCACAGGCGGGGGGCCCCCACCGAGAAGGCCCTGTCCCTCGTCCCCACCAAGCGTGTTTGAGACAGAGCCAGGGTCGAAAGCAAGGCCTCCCCAGAAGATCTTACACTCCGAGGTGGGACGTAGAAGGAGATACATTCGGACAGGTATGCTGGACCGGAGACGTATAGGGTGAAGGCTATGGAGATTTCTGGTTTCCCAAAAGGTTATGGTCCCAGAATAAGGAGAACTCTCAGCAATATGCCCTCATAATGCACTTTAATACTGACTTAGGATGTATTGCGTTCCCTCGTTTCTCTCTGGAAAATCCTATCCCAGTTACATTTTACCTGTTTATGTCAGCATATTTTCAATTTTAATCTATTACATTTGGCCTGGCCATTTTTAATATGTCATTATTGATTGTTGTTTTTGTTATGTGATTTATATGATTTGTATTTTATTGATTGTTTACTAATGTTGTGTTATTGATGTTTGTTTGATGTACTTCAGGCTTGGCCTCATGTAAGCCACACCGAGTCCCTTGGGAGATGGCAGCGGGGTACAAATAAAGTTTATTGTTATTGTTGTTGTTGTTGTTGTTATGGTCTCCAAAAAGTCATGTCCTTCCAAAAGCTTTTGGGGCCTTTTTTTTTTTAATATATATATTTTTTTTGGTCTTCAAGTAAAGCATGCCCTGGTGTGATATTAGTCTGTTATCTTCTTCTTCTTTTTTAAATTTTTTTATTTATTGTAGCTTTAACATATTCAGTATTTAAACATTTGAAGAAATGATTAGCCAAAGGGGGAGTAAGGAAGGAAAAGAAAGAACGAAAGGTATAACAAGTGATATCTACAAAATGCTGCTGGTAGGAGTCCAGGAGGAGGACCACCTTAAAAGAATGTGGGAGTTAGATTGTAATAAAGTAATACACCCACAAAACTGGAATGTGTCCAGAGGAGAGCGACTAAAATGATAAAAGGTCTGGAGAACAAGCCCTATGAGGAGCGGCTTAAGGAGCTGGGCATGTTTAGCCTGAAGAAGAGAAGGCTGAGAGGGGATATGATAGCCATGTATAAATATGTGAAAGGAAGCCACAGGGAGGAGGGAACAAGTTTGTTTTCTGCTTCCTTGGAGACTAGGATGCGGAACAATGGCTTCAAACTACAAGAGAGGAGATTCCATCTGAACATGAGGAAGAACTTCTTGACTGTGAGAGCCGTTCAGCAGTGGAACTCTCTGCCCCGGAGTGTGGTGGAGGCTCCTTCTTTGGAAGCTTTTAAACAGAGGCTGGATGGCCATCTGTCAGGGGTGATTTGAATGCAATATTCCTGCTTCTTGGCAGAATGGGGTTGGACTGGATGGCCCATGAGGTCTCTTCCAACTCTTTGATTCTATGATTCTATGATTCTAACTGGAAAGGAATGTGGAATATGCGTATATTAAGAAATATGTCAATAAGAATAAAAGAGAATTATTGCAAAGTGGTGTGGCGATGGTTCCTCACACCAATCAGATTAAATCAAATTGACAAGAAACATTCTAAGCAGTGCTGGAGGGGCTGTCAAGAAACTGGCACATATATACACATGTGGTGGTCTTGCAAATATGTTCAAAAATTTTGGGAAAATGTATTTCAAGAAATAAGAAGAATCACCCAAATAGAGATAACAGGAACACCGGAGATAGCACTGCTGTCATTTATTGACAATGTTAAAATACCAAAAGAACTAAAAGAATTAATTGCCAATCTGGTAACAGCAGCAAGATTATTAATAGCTAAAAAATGGAAAGAAGGAGGGGAGTGCCAATTGGAAGAGTGGTATAGGGAGATCTGGGACATCGCAATAAACGATAAACTGATTACTACTACTACGATAAACAATTACTACTACTAACAACACAAACAATAGTTCTAATGATGGATTGCAGTGATATTTCTGTGTGTATCTGCCAATGCAGTCTGCTGCACAAAGCCTGGAAAGAAGAGCCTCCCTCTCTGTCTCTGCAGATACACTCCCTTCCCAGCTTCATTGCACCTGTCCACAGGTAGCCTCTCTCTCTCTTTCTCTCTTAATGCTCCCTCAAGGGGGTCCTAGGTGCTCAAAGCCTTGTTAACCATATCCCCAGGGACCCCATTAATCCGCAAGCATCAGAACGAGCCTAGAAACGGAGCTGCCTTTTCCTCCCCCAATCTGCAAAACAGAGTCGCTCCACGGCGGCTGCAGCTTAAGAGCTGATCCAGAGGGTCAGTTTCATAGCAGAGCAAGAGAATATTGCTACTTGATATTGTTATGCAAAGGGGGGGGGAGCAGTCATATCATAATCCGCGACCAGAGCATGCATGCATGCATGTGGCAAAAGGAGGGCATTGCCACACAGGAATCTGAGCCACACAATGATGGCACCCAGTGATTTTTGCAGAGCTGATGTGCAACTGCTTGTGCTGAGTCAAGCATGGGAAAACTTGGGCCCTGCAAGTGTTTTGGACTTCAACTCCCACCATTCCTAACAGCCTCAGGACCTTTCCTTTTCCCCCTCAGCCGCTTAAGCAGCTGAGGGGGAAAAGGAAAGGTCCTGAGGCTGTTAGGAATGGTGGGAGTTGAAGTCCAAAACACCTGCAGAGCCAAACTTTGCACATGCCTGTTATCCATTCTATGCTCTTGCCATAGGGAACACTTTCCTATGTTCCAGCCCCAGCCATCTTGCTTCCCTGCCTTTAGGACAGGGAGAGGCAAGGGACACTACTGCCATTGTGTTGCATTTTAGGGCCCTTTCTCCCCTGTCCTTAGAATGCTGGAACTGGAAGAGAGACCCCAGAGGCCATCCGGTCCAACCCCTTTCTGCCATGCAAGAAAAAAGCACCATCAAGGCCCCCCACTTTTGCGGGTTTAGCTTTTGTGGATATGTTGACTCAGGAATCTGATCAATATGTTATCTCCAGGAATCACTATGTTGTCCATCACAGCGAATCTATGACTTAACCTTAGTTAGAAGCTGACCATAACGTCAAGCTGGAAGACCTAGAGATTTCTAGGCAGGACTCTTTACTCTAGACCACCGGTTCTCAACCTGGGGGTCGCAACCCCCAGGGGGGTCATTGGGCCATTTTTCGGGGGTCGTGAAGGCGCCTCGGTTGGCCCCGCCCCCTCCGCCCCCTCAAAATGGCTGCCGGTCCCTGTGCCATGGAAACAGCCAAACTTTCCAGGTCAGCTCCTCCACCTTGCGCGAGGCCTCCCTCGCGCTACTGCCGGCCAGCAAGGGCATGAGGCAGGCAAGGGCCCTTCGCGCAAGGCCTCTCTCGCTTCCATCGTGCTCCCGCCGGCCAGCAAGGGCACAAGGCAGGCGAGCGCAAGGCCGAAAATAATTTTATGGTGGGGGGTCACCACAATACAAGGAAGCATATTTAGGGGTCACAGTGTTAGAAAGGTTGAGAACCACTGCTCTAGACATTTGGTACTTTTTAACTCTGAATATGTTCTTTCTCCCACCCTGGACATGATTCCACGGGTATATATACACTCTACTTGTTCCACTGCCAATAGAACCTATGAAGATGCCATTAGCCATAGATGCAGGTGAAACGTCAGGAGAGAATGCTGCTGAAATATGATCATACAGCCCGAAAAACAGACATCAAGCCAGTAATTCCAGCCATTAAAGCCTTTGACAACACATTAGGAAGAACATCCTGAGGTCAGAGCTGTTTGGCAGCAGAAGATGCTGCCTGACCTGACCAAACCCTGCAAAAAAAATGCCATTGGAAACACTTTATTTTTACCTACTAGTGCAATTAAACCCTACTTCCATCCCTCTGATCCCGTCCAGATACATTACATTGCTTTCTCAACCAGTTTCAAACTTTTTAATACTTGCTACTGGCCTTGCCCACTGTGATTTATTTTCTGTGTTTAATTGTGATTTTATATTGTTTATATGCTTTTTATATTGTTTCTTGTATTTTATTTTATTTTTATTTTATTTTTGTTGTATGTTGTTATTAGCATTGTTGTACTGTATTGTAGAGCTTGGCCTCATGTAAGCCGCCCGAGTCCGCTTGGGGAGATGGTGGTGGGGTATAAATAAAGTATTATTATTATTATTATTATTATTATTATTATTATTGCCATCTCTTTTTCTGGAGGGTTTTAAGCAGAAGCTAGATGGCCATCTGTTGGGAGGGCTTTGACTGGCAGAAGGGGGCTGGATGGCCCTTGGGGTCTCTTTCAGACTCCATGATTCTATGATTTACTCCTGGTTTCCTCACTTTTGTGGAGGTCCTGTGCCTCTCACCCAGCACATGAGCAGGGCTGACCGTAGCTCTCAATAGCAAGGAATTGCTCACCACAGCAGAACCAAGAAGCATAGAAATAATCCAGAAATAAGTTGGCACAAAGATGGCCCTCCCTCCCCTTCAAGCTCTGTTTCCCCTCCATACCTGTTGAGCGCCATTGTGACCGTCGCCCCTTGCTGCATTTCCTGGGACGCCGCCACGGCCGCCTCTGCCAGGGAGGCCACTGCCTGCGTGGCTTCAGAAGCCTGGGTCGTCTGGATGGTCATCTCCCCTCCTTGCAGTGTCGCCCAGTTCTGCTCTACCTGAGAAGGAGAAGACAAATGCTGTGCAATTAGTAAATAAGTATGTGTGTAAGTAAGTAAAACTTTATTTCTATCCTGCCCCATCTCCCCAGGTGGACTCAGGGCAGCCCATGACATAAAAGGCAAAGACTCAATGCCACAAAAATACAGCAATAAATTAAACAAATACAGAAAAGTGATACAAAACATTCAACAATACAACAATCACATGAAAAGCAATAAAGGCAAATTATTATTGAACCTTCCCTTAATAATCACCATCACTATCATCATCGATTCTGCAGGGGAAATGTACCCCTAGTCCTTACGAATAAATAGAATAATAATAGTAACTGATTCTGCAGGGTAAATGCACCTCTAGTCCTAACAACAACAACAACAACAACAACAAATTCTGCAGGATAAATGCACCCCTAATATTAATAATAATAAAAAGTTTCTGCAGAGTAAATACACTTCTAGTCCGAACAACAACAACAGTTTCTGCAAGATAAATGCACCCCTAGTCCAAACAACAACAATGGATTCTACAGGGTAAATGCACCCCTAGTCTCAACAAGAACAATAGTTTCCGCAGGGTAAATACACCCCTATCCCAAATAGCGACAATAACAACAACAACAACAACAACAGATTCTGCAGGATAAATGCACCCCTAGTCTGAACAACAACAATAATAGATTCTGCAGGGTAAATGCACCCCTAGTCCAAACAACAACAACAACAACAACAACAACAACAACAACAGATTATGCAGGATAAATACACCCCTAGTCTGAATAGCAACAATAATAGATTCTGCAGGTTAAATGCACCCCTAGTCTGATCAACAAAAACAATAGATTCTGCAAGCTAAATGCACCCCTAGTCTGATCAACAAAAACAATAGATTCTGCAAGCTAAATGCACCCCTAGTCAGAACAACAACAACAACAGATTCTGAAGGTTAAATGTACCCCTAGTCTGAAAAACAACAATAGATTCTGCAGGGTAAATCCATCCCTAGTCTGAAAGACAACAACAATAATAGATTCTGCAGGGTAAATACGCTCCTAGTCCAAACAACAATAACAACTACAGATTCTGCATGGTAAATAAACCCCTAGTCCTTACACATTATTATTATTATTATTATTATTATTATTATTATTACTACTACTACTACTACTACTACTACTATTATTAATACATTTTGCCAGGGTAAATGTACCAATAATAATAATAATAATAATAATAATAATAATAATAATGCCACAAGAACTTGTCCAGGTGGAATGTTGCATATTCCTAGCCTCCATCTTAGGACTGATCAGCAACTGCTCTGGTTTCTACTGTAACCGCACAAAAGCACCAAAGCAGATTCCAAATGAACAAATCTGCCATCCATGTTTGCAGGTCCAGGTTTTGCAGATTTCAATTACTCATGGATTTGTTTAATATGTTTTCTAGGAATCTCTAGGTCAGGCATGGGCAAACTTTGTCCCTCCTCCAAGTGTTTTGGACTTCAACTCCCACAATTCCTAACAGCCAGTAGGCTGTTAGGAATTGTGGGAGTTGAAGTCCAAAACATCTGAAGGAGGGACAAAGTTTGCTCATGCCTCCACTAGATCCTTTTACCCAATGCTATGGACCTATGCAGGCAATTTTCCATCTGTGAATCTTAACCTGCATTTTAATTTTTTGTACATGTGTATATATGTTATATCTATTTTAATAAAGTTCTATCATGTTGCACCCCAACTTTGAGCAATGAGGAAAGACAGGAAATAAATAAAGGTATTATTATTATTATTATTAAATTATGTAACAAAAATTTGAAAACATTTCTGTTCCTGGTTTGAGAGTGCTATTTCCTGTTTCATTGTGCAGTCCTTACTTTGAAAAGAGTAGTTCTACTCCAGAAACTTTGCTTTTGTGGCTGCCACAAACTAGGTTGAATGTGTTGAGACTCTATGGTGAGATATTCATGGGGTTGTCAAAGGCTTTCATGGCTGGAATCACTGTGATTTTTTTGGCCTGTATGGCGATGTTCCAAAATGCTACTGGAACAGGGCTGTACAGCCTGAAAAACTCACATCAACCAGAAATATTAATTGAAAAGCTATTGCAAAAGGTGCTGCTGCAGGATGTCCTTCCTGCAAAAACAAACCTTTATTTATACCCCGCTACCATCTCCCGAAGGACTCGGTGCAGCTTACAAGAGGCCGAGTCCAAATACATCAGTAAAAAAACAACAACAGCAATACAATCAATAAATAAACTAATAAACAAAGCGATAAACAGTAACAATAACACCACGATGCATTAAAAACCTATGGCAGGGCCAAATGTAATAATTAATATTTTAAAAATGCTGGGCATGACAAGGTGACTTATAACTAGGATAGGTATTTGGAGAGAGATGGAGCGAGCAGACAATCCTGGATCATTAGTAAAGTGCGATTAGGGACATGTTGCTTAGGGTTTCCTTATTCTGGGAAGGCACACTGGAACAACCACGCTTTCAGGCTCCTCTTGAAGACTGCCAGAGTTGGGGAATGCCTAATATCCTTGGGGAGCAAGTTCCAGAGTCAAGGGGCCACCACCGAGAAGGCCCTATCCCTCACCCCCACCAATCGCGCTTGCGATGGAGGTGGGATCGTGAGTAGGGCCTCTCCAGATGAACGAAGAGATCGTGTGGGTTCGTACACAGAGATGCGGTCATGCAGGTAGGCGGCTTTGTAGGTAAGCACCTGCACCTTGAATTGTGACCGGAAAATGAACGGCAGCCAATGGAGCTCCTTAAACAGGAGGGTTGACCTCTCTCTTGCAGTTTAATAAACTTTTCCCCTTGTTTTTATGATAGAAGCAATTAGGAAATGACGTCTATAATTCAGGAACAAAAACGTGTTACATAGTGTTGTTAATACTATGCTCAACATAGTATCGAAGCTTGGCCTGTCACTGAACATCGAGAAAACCAAAGTGCTGTTCCAGCAGTCACCAGCCATCCCCTCCCCAGTGCCAGAGATACAACTTAATGGTGTAACATTAGAAAATGTTGACCATTTCCGCTACCTTGGCAGCCACCTCTCCACCAAAGTCAACATCGACACCGAAATACAACACCGCCTGAGCTCTGCGAGCGCAGCATTTTCCCGAATGAAGCAGAGAGTGTTTGAGGACCGGGACATCCGTAGGGATACCAAGGTGCTTGTCTATAAAGCTATTGTCCTCCCAACCCTGCTATATGCCTGCGAGACGTGGACTGTCTACAGACGTCACATGCAACTCCTGGAACGATTCCATCAGCGCTGCCTCCGGAAAATCCTGCAAATCTCTTGGGAAGACAAGCGGACAAACGTCAGCGTGCTGGAAGAAACAAAGACCACCAGCATTGAAGCGATGGTCCTCCGCCATCAACTCCGCTGGACCGGCCACGTTGTCCGGATGCCTGACCACCGTCTCCCAAAGCAGTTGCTCTACTCTGAACTTAAGAATGGAAAACGGAATGTTGGTGGACAGGAAAAGAGATTGAAAGATGGGCTCAAAGCCAATCTTAAAAACTCTGGCATAGACACTGAGAACTGGGAAGCCCTGGCCCTTGAGCGCTCCAGCTGGAGGTCAGCTGTGACCAGCAGTGCTGCAGAATTCAAGGAGGCACGAGTGGAGGGTGAAAGAGAGAAACGTGCCAGGAGGAAGGCGCGTCAAGCCAACCCCGACCGGGACCGCCTTCCACCTGGAAACTAATGCCTTCACTGTGGGAGAAGATGCGGGTCAAGAATAGGGCTCCACAGCCACCTATAAACCCACAAAAATAGTCATCAAGGAAGACCATCTTACTCGTCTAACGAGGGATCGCCTAAGTAACTAAGTAAAATAAGTAATGCTCAACATCCACTACAAAGACCAAGATTGCACTGGGCCCATAACCTTCCATGAAAGCGGAGGGCCTACTGCAGGCATGAGCAAACTTCATCCCTCCGAGTGTTTTGGACTCCAGCTCCCACCATTCCTAACATACTACTGCCCATGCTTGACTTAACCTCTAAAACAGGCGTCCCTAACCTGCCAGCCTCCTGATAGATGCATGGACTACAAGTGACATTATCCCACCAGCCACGTTTGCTGGGGATTATCGAAGTGCTCGAGACGCAACCATCTGCAGCAGGCTGCAAAGCTGGGGGAGGCGGCTCTGCAACGTAACATGAGACGTGCGCCTATCTATGCGGCTGAGCAAAGAAACCACCCTTTGTGTGGCCATCGCCCTGCTTTAGTTTGATACAGCATTTTAAAAAACAAACGGAGTTACACATATTTTCGCTTTGAATGGGATTTACCATATATACTCGAGTATAAGCCGACCCAAATGTACGCTGAGGCACCTAATTTTACCACAAAAAACTGGGAAAACATATTCACTCGAGTATAAGCCAAGGGTGGGAAATACAGCCGCTACTGGTCAATTTCACAATAAAAATAGATATCAATAAAATTACATTAATTACATTAACGGAGGCATCCGTAGGTTAAAAGTTTTTGAATATTTACATAAAACTGTAATTTAAAATAAGACTGTGATTAAACCATTATTCAAACCTCTTTCAATGTAAATGTGCTTATTTATGTATCCTTCCAATAATAATAAAGAGTAAAAATAATACATTTGATAACAATAATAGTAATAATTGAGTAAAATAATGGAAATGTAGTAATAACAGTAATAATAAGTAAAATAATAAATGCAATACCAATAAGAGAGAGTGAAATAATAAATGTAACAATAACAATAATAAAGTAAAATAATAAATGTAATAATAATAATACAGTAAAATAATAAATATAATAACAATAATAAAGTAAAATAATAAATGGAATCATAATAATAAGTAGAATAAAATAACAAATGTAATAATAATAGAGTAAAATAATAAATGCAACAACAATAAGAAACAGAGTAAAATAATAAATGTAACAAAAACAATAATAATAGAGTAAAATAATACATTTAATAATAATAG